CTTTGGTAGTCATGGAATTTTTCAAGTTGCACGGTAACATGACCCAAAAAGAGCGAATCGAGGTTTTCAAAACTTTTAGACAGGCGAAAAGTGGTGTTCTACTTTGCACGGTAAGTAATGCTTTATATAANATATATATATATATATATATATATATATATATATATGTAATAAAGAGTGATACGATGGCTTTATGAAAACAATGAAAATTCCGTGAAAGTAGAAATTATTATAGAATAGTGGCAAATAAACGGAGAAAAAGGAGGAAAGAATAGAAGAAAAACTAGGGATACCGGCGGCACTCCCCAAGCAGTAAATTACCCCGTGGCTTATTCTTTCAGGGCGGAATTTAATATCTCTGGACCCACGCTGTGTCCGGAGGTTAAAAATTATACGCGCACATGAGGCCTTGGTAACGAGTATAATTATAATTGTTATGTTTGTTTTTTACTTTTAATAACGAATACTTACTAATTAATGATGTAATTGGGTAATTTTGAATATTAATCTGAAACAAAATACGTATTTTTTTTTTAGATATTTTATTTCGAAAAATAACTGGATATCATATCATTTTTCTCCGTTTATTGTCGATATTATGCGATAATTTAATCACGCTCATAATGAATCAACTTTCGCATATTCCATGACAATTATTTAATCATTAACAGTGAAAGCGGTGATTCTTACGTACGATAAATATCGTTAAAAGTGTAATAATAATTAAATTCATTATCATTTATTTTATAATTCTCTTCCTTGTCGATTAACATGAATTTAAAACCACTTAAAGCCATTGCTAAGAAAAAGGAAGAGATCATGAAACTCCGGAAGAACGAATTTTAAAATTCATGATCCACGACACGCAACAATGTTACACATGTGCACGGCTTAAGGATTAATTTCTTTTAACCAGGCGATCTCATCGTTGATTCAACACACGTATTTCTCACAGTAACTCGTTACAAGTTGTCATTATCTTTCATCATTTTCGTCAGACTCTAGAAAAACCGATTAATTGCCATCAAGATTCCCCCCGTCCCCCGAACGAACCGAATCGTAAACCAACGGATGGAATAAATCACGGAGTGGGGAGTTTTGCCACGATCATCATCCTATTCGTTAGAATTTCGATTCGCTTTACATTCGAGAGGGTATAAACGTTAATGCCATAGTGCATGAACAACGATGGCAGCCGCCCACATTTTACAGCGTCACTTGGAACGGAGATACTGTGGCAGCATTATTAATTTCCACGTTGAAAACTCACGAGAGCCCCCGCGGATGGAATGTTCCGCGGCTCTCAGCGGTGGTGAATCCGGATCCACGAGGTGATCTATGGTCCGAGTGAGATGTTTTGAGCGAACGATCCGTTCTCGATCCTCCGTAACCACGATCGCGGCCTCTCTCCTAAACGATCGTTTGTCTTAATCTCTCCCATCGATCGCCTCCTCGTCCCTTGCGTTTCCCTTGCGTTGTATCGCGCCGGTGGCAGCCACGATCCTCGTCTCGTCCCAAGCTACGTGGGCGTTTCCGTTTCGATTTCACCTCACGAGTTTCATACCTTAGAAGCCTTCAACTTCTAATCGGTCTAATCAATTATCACGATTTCCAAACAATCTCTCATATTATTCTTTTTTAGAAAAGGAGATGGATTATTTTGGACGACGTATTTGCGATAATTATAAACGCACAAAAGAGAATCGTTCGTCCGGTCGGTATTTTATCTCGATGGAAGAAATTTCTTTCCTTCTCCCCGGCGGCTGACCCCAAGCTTGCGTCTAAGCTTGGCGTCGAATTAATTCGATAAAAAGAAAAGGAGGAGGGCAGACACATCCGTATCGTGCCGCGAAAGAATTTTCGGGGCCACGACGCCCCCCCACTGGTGGTCCAGGATTAGTCTCCAGGGTCGTCAAGCAGAAACTCGATGTGCTCCGTTCGGTAAATCATTGGTTAACCGAACGCAAGGAAATCAGGGCCGTGCTCAAACGTTCGCCGTTGGGGTTCCGCAGCGGGCGCCCGCTGCCAGCCGCGCTCATTCACCTTGGTACA